ATAATGTATTTATGGAAAGTGATAATATTATACTTGTTTGTTCGAAAAAAATATTACCTATAATCTGTGTATTTTACACATTACACATTTTATCTAACTTTATAATTAACTATGAATCATTTAAAAGAATAAAACAATATAGATAAACCAACGCGTGTGACACGTACAAATGTTTGAATCATTTATTTTATGTGTCTATAACATTTAATCCAACTTTTAATTGTTCTTAGAACGTAAGTACTTACACCTTTTCAATAACAGAGGTTAAGGGGTCATACCCCCCCTGAAATATTCCCTGTACTGTTCAATAGTATAAACTATTTATAAAAAAAAAGTAGTATAGCGATATTTAGTATATTTATTTCCAATGCGGTGAAATCTCATAATATGTGGTCAAAAAATAATTAAACATGAAAATATAAATTGTAATCTTAAAAAATAAATTAGACAAAGCGGTTTTTATTATCGTAATATCGTCCGATCGTCGGCAATGTGTTGCGCGGGGCAGTTATAGACAAGATCTATAAAGAAGAGGTTAGCCAGTAAGCAGAAAACGCGGTGATTSGCTGTTACGAGTGACGTAGTCAATAGACCTTATTAATAATATTAATTCACATTTCACGGTCCATAGGTCTATAGGTGGTTTATATGCTGTAGCTGTAGGCGCATTAACATTTTTAATTATAATTCAATTATAACATGAATGTGAATATATTTATTAATAATGTAATTATTTAATAAATCACCAATCTATTATGTAAATGTCGCATCCATTAAATGAAATAGTTATATTCTGTGGTGAAATCGACAATTTCATGAACTGGATGTCCAKATAGTGAAATTCACCAAGCTCAAGTTTTAGAGGGAGCAGCAATACATATTTTAAAACACGAAAACTACTCTACTCATTTTCTCGTTTAATTTGACAAGTTAAATATAATTAATACAGAAATAAGTACAAATGAATGATTATCATCATACATTTTTAATACCTACTTATAAGTTTATGGTGAATATTGGAACATATTTTTGTGCATTT